CCTGCTGTTGTTTGCATGGTCACTCCCAGAGCAGGACAGCTGCAAGGCAGGCATTCACCCTCCACCTTTGGAACTGAGACACAATCATTTACATGGCCTGCACTTGATGTATGCTGCATCCCAAAATATTTTGCACAGCTAGAGCTATTTATAAGGCAGGATTAAACTTTGCAGAGTTATTTTGTCCTTCCAAAGCACAGTTACTGACTTCAGAACGCAGAAACAGAAGAATTCTCTCCCCTTTTTCACTCACGTTTTAGACTTCTGTTCTTACTTGCAGTGGATTTTATTCATACTTCATTCATGCCAACACAATTTGTCTGTGTTGTTTAAAGGAGAAGTTTGAGAGAGAAATAAGATAAAGAATACTTTGTTTTAACAAGTATGAAAAAATTAAGATAATTTACCAAGAAAACAGAGAAGATCAAGCAGGGTTTCAGCTCGTAATTTAATCAACCTCAGTTGGGTGTTTTACTAGGAAGTAACCAAACAGGGAAAACTTCAGTCATTCAGTAAGTTCGAAAGATTGTTTCTTAGAGTACATTATATTAGTCACTGCTTACACTGTGATATTTATACACATCTGAATATTTGACAAAATGTTTCCCAAATGTTTTCCCTGTTTGTTTACTTCCTAGCAAAACACCCAAAATCTGGAATCTGACAGCCAAACTCCATTTTAGAAATATTCTCCCTAAGCAATGGCATTGGCTTCCATGAGAGTTTCGGTAGAAGGGACAAATATGGCAGAGCAAGGCAAATTCTGGATCCAAGCAATAATCGCTGATTGTTAAGACACTTACTTGGTAATTTATCTATGACATACAAAGCTCTAACACAGAGAGAAAATGTAGCCTTGAGATTTCGCATTTTCAGTGTTTTAGATTCACAGACAGCAGGAGACATGTTCATTTTTATTTTTCATTCAGAAAGTATTTGTTTTTGAAATGGCAAAATAATGTGAATACACAGTTGCCAGGAGGAGAAAAGATATGGGTAATTTATCTCTTCTGTCGGCTCTATTCAGGGACATCTCTGACTTCATAGACAGATCAGCCTTCAAAAAAAATCTTCTGCAATATCTTTGCCGCACCCTCTTACCATGTTCCTTGATAACAACGTATGTGTGAAAATCATAGTTTGCTTTTTTTTGTTATAAAGATGAAAAGTCATTTAGAAAATATGAAAATACCACTGTAAATTTCAGTGCTTAAATACCACCCAATAACTGTTGCTACGCACATATATTTCCATATATGCCATAATCTGAAGCCTGTGACTAATCATATTGAACTCAATGGTATGTTTAAGGGATTAAGGCCTCTTTACATCTGGGAACTGGAATTATTCTGGGAGTAATTTGATAATGTTTCTTTCTTAAGGTATATGCAAATTTTTTCTATGCCCCTGAGTCATTATGTGTAGAAAAAAAAATTGCAGTAGTAGAGGTAATCCACAGTTTCCTGAGCCTTGGAACACTTGAGGGAGTCCCCCTCCATTTACTGCAGAAACAGCTGTCATTCAGCTGTGAGATTTGGAGCTGTGGAAACTGGAGAAAAGGGAAAGTATTCGTTCCTAGTATATTAAAAAAAAAGACACTAGATCAAAATTCCTAGCTGAGTTTCTTGCTTCCTGATGTCCTGAGAGAGTTATTTTCAAATTAATTGTAATATGCAAACATATTGCTTGTACATGATAGTGATTTATGGTAATTGGAATACTGATGGGAAAAAATTCTTTTAGACTATTTAATGAGCACCTGTGAAATTGTGGAATGCATGCATGAGCATCCTGAGTATTTGCCGGAGAGATTTTCTTTCCACAGCTGTGAGATGCGGGCATCATTATTTAGATATAAATTGAGAGCCTCTTTCAAAAGGCAAGCAGGTACTTGGACCACGTTCATGGGACAACTGATGTAAATAATTGCTCAACAGTGTAAATAAGGAGCTTACAATCTGGCTGTATTTTATTATTTATTAGTACTTATTATAATTTATTGGTCTCGTTTCAAACAGTGAAGTTAAAAGTAAAATGAGTTTCTTTTTAGAATAAGAAAGAAATACAGCACCATATGTTGTGCCAATGGAGCTCTGTCTGATATAGTGCTAATACAGTCCTTTCAAGGCCTCAAGACATTTTACAACATTTTTAGCACCAATTTCTGCAGTAATGACTAACTTCTGCAGGACAGAAAATTACATTCCTTGGGAGGATATGAAATGATCAGGAAAGGAAAGAGCCAACATTATCCAAGAAGCTATTGAGTTAGCAGGATTTTAATGCCAGAACAATTAATAGGCTACGAGAAATAAATCAACTGGAACAATATGTGATAAGCAGAAAACATTGTTGCGGTCTTTTTATAATACTGAAAATGTAAAGGCTACATATCAGCAGATACAGTGTGCTAGTTTCTATCAAAACATGGATTTTCTCCTGTATGTTTTTTGGCTGATGTCATTGGAAACATTGATAACTAATTCTGGTTTTATAAGCCTGACTATAAAAGAAAAGACTAAACCAAAACTCACCAAAATGCCTAAAGTAAAGCTGTCTGTAATCAATCAGTTTCTTGACTTTGGCGTATTTTAATATGAGGAACTACTGTATATAAAGATGAAGGAGTAAGCTGACACTAGAATAGGGAGGTTTTGCTGTGGTTTTTTTTTCTTTTTAGCAATTGAGATTTTTTAAAAAGACTGTGAAAGTATTTTGTAGTTACTTTTGTGTAATTTTTTTCTTCTACTTCAGTTACCCTGTGCCTGTTTTACAAATGGGTAAACTAAGACAAGAAGCAATTAAACCCACAACCGAACAGAAAGGGAATACAATTTCAACTTTCCAGTTTTATTTATGTATTCATTTTTTTGCATGTTCTGTATTTCTAATAGCATTGATTAGCTGGACATACTTGTGGTTTCTTCATTTGGTAGCCTTTCTCAAGAACAAGGATCTGAGAATCTCTGTCCGTGATCCAACACACTTAATTCAAAAGTAGTCTTTTCAGCATATTAAGCTGAAGCTCTCAGGAAAGGTCCTGATCATGCTTCACTTCTGCTGATTTCCAACGGTGACATTGATAATTGTAGGCTTGAGCCCTAAAATGGATGCATATTGTGTTGCTTGGAAGTGTGCTTGTGGCTTCACAATGGTGAAGGTAACAAATATTTTCCAGGGGAAAAAAACCCTTGTAAATAGCTCCATAATCACTTGAACAAAATTAGCATAAAGGTGAATGTTGGAGCAAAAATTGTTAAGGCAAAACATTTTGATTAAGCTTATTTAAGATACTGGCATGCCTACAACATTAATAGTATCTTTTTTTGTTCTTTTTCTATTTGTTCCTGTAATGAAGGAATCATCTACATGCTGCAGGTCATATCTGTGTTCTTAAAGATGCTTTCATGTATGAAAGTCCAACTGAAATAGCAAATCTAACTTCCACAGACAAGTTTGATGCAGCCTTGGCCATTCATCTTTATAAAGGAGGCAGACTTCTGCAAGGTAATCCTTTTTCTATTTTTCAATAAAAATACCTCTTAAAAAGGTACTGAAAGAGAAGAGAATAAATACAAACAGTTATAAATGGCTATAAATGTATAAGCCCACATGTAATGTAGTTATTCTGTTTATCCACTTCAACAAATGTTCAGAAATGCTGCAAATCTTTCTCTGTGGGAGATCTGATCCAAAGAAGAGAGAACTAAACAAATGTACTTTTAAAACACATAGTGCATTTCATAATTAAGTACTTTAACTACATTGAGAACATTATATTAACATTAAGATACTTTAAGAAAATGTGTTCTTTCAGAGGACAATGGCTTGGCTAAGTATAGCTGAGGTCAAATAGAAGAAAGCAGAGAGGCTAATTTGATTTTTCTGCTCAAAAATGAGTCAGGGTTTTTTGGACATGAAATAACTTTGAGATGTTGTTCATGCCAGCTAAACTGTAGGAGACAGGATGTTATCAGACAAATAATAAAATTTTCTATTGTATCTACCCATGTAGAACAAAATTTTTGCCCACCATTAATGATATGCTAGAAGCACTGGCTTTCAAAATTACAGACACTGTCACCTATTGAAATTGCAAGTGTGTATCCATTTTTGAGATCACCTTTGAACTGTACAAATCTATTCACTTCGACAAAGGCACATAATTTGATACTTTCATCAGATCTCAGTATAAGTTGTGTTGAACTACTTTTCAGATTTCAGAAGTCCCCCTGCAATTTGTGCTGGTGGGTTTTCAGAAAGCCTGAATTATTATGTGGCATGTTTATGTATCTTTTGTTACAATGGAGCTCTGATTTCAGTAGGGACCCTAGAATACAAATAAAAAAATAATCCTGTAAGATGATCTCTCCTAACATATGTATTAAGACTTCTTTTGTTGGAATATAGAGATGATTGTTTTTGTGACAAGACCTGGAATTGTTTTGGAAGAGGCTTACGGAAGGTCTGAGAACCATCTTTTTCTTTTTTTGCTAAGGAACAAAAAATAAGGTTGTATTTTAAATGTTTACTGTAAAACTTCATTGCAGTTTTGACTTGCATAGCATTGCCCGGATGCTGTTGCTATTAGCTTTTCAAAATTCCAAGTGAACGTGCAAAGCCTGATACTTGAATGATTTTGAAAAGCTCAGTAATTTAAATAAATCAGTCACACTGTTCCAAAAAGCATCTGCAATAGCTGAAAGAAAAATAGAACAGAAATTTGTGAAAAGCAAGAGAGTACGTAGTATGATTGCTGGGATGATCCTAGTCAAAGTGTAAAAGTTATTGTAGATTTCTTGGAGGAAAAAAGTGATTCAGAGCACATTCCTGATTCTTGTAACATTTAATCTTTCCATACTCTATATTAAGAAATGCCTTAAAGAAATTTAGTGATTACAGTCATACTACCATTACTACCATACTACCGATCTTTTGGGCCTCATCCTGAAAACTTTGATTACATGATCGGGCATGTATGATCAACACATGTAACAGATGACATAATAATTATTTACTTCTTTATTTATTAGAAAGGCAATATGTATTTTATATTGTATTACAGAAAGTCAGTGTCTTGAAAGTTAGTGCTGTGGTGCTTTGATCGTGCACATTGATTCTCTTCACCTACAAACATTAGAGTATAATATCTAAAAATGCCAAGAAAAGTCTTTAAGTAGCCAGAATGGCAATTAGTCTTTCATTCTTTTTCTTTGTCTTTAATTTAGTAATAAGGAAATTAGCAATGCTAATAAATCATCATCTTACAGCTCACTTTATTTTCAAATATAAATGTGAAACATATAGTATGTTTTCTATCTTTATCAACGTTTATTTTGTTCCTCATTTGCTTTAAGATTTCCTTATCTGCTTGTTTTTAACCATGAATTTTAATTCTGAGAGTTCACTGAATTTAACCTATCATTTTCCCCCCATCCCCTAAGATGTTGTGGGTAGCTATAGAAAGTGTCACCAATAGTTTTCACAGCCATGAACATTCAAGGTCAGTTAGTTATCTCTCAAAAGAAAGAACTTCCATCAACATAGTAACCTCTAGTGCCCTGCTCGTTGGTCCAGTGCTGAGGACAGTGTTGTCTACTGAGTCCTTGACCCCTCTCCCTTTCCATCCAATAGCGAAAGGGAAAAAAAAAAAGCAGATTTTCTGCCTCTCTTGATATACGGTGTGTAGTGACAATACAGCCTAACTGCTTATTCTTGTTCACAGTCAGAAGGAAACCTTGACTTCATCTGTTCAGCTAACAGAAATGTGCAAAATCCACAAAATTGGTCACTTTAATGACAGGTTTTGTAGACTGTCTTACTGGAGACTGTTTCTTTTGCAAAACTGCAGTCTCATTTGGATTTTAAAACTATGTTCTGTGTGTAGTAATTAGCCACCATGAGATTGTTATTTGTTAGCTTAATGTGGTGTAAAACTGACCACTTAATTGGTTTCAGTGCTGAAACAATCAACAGTAAACATTATTGTCTGCTATCCTGATTAGTTTAAGGGGATAACATTACTGGTAACTTGTCAGTTACTAAAAATAACCTGACTCCAAGAAAACAAATACTATTAGAAAGGAATATTGCACTACTATTGAGTTTTGTATTTTCATCTAAGTAGTCTTTGGCCTTGTCCATGTAAGTCTAGCTGCTGTTAGCATAGAAGTGCTACACTACCCTGTTTCGGTGGCTTTACCCTTATGCAAATATGAATTTATTCCAATGCTGTGTATCAAAACTAGGCTTTTACCAGAGTGCAGACACCACTAGGATATATATAATTTTGTTAATACTCTAAAATTTGAATGTTCATGAGATCTTGTGCACAGATTGTCCCACAGCCAACATACTTTCCTCTACTCTTACTGTTTTGAGCACTGTAAGGCATCCGAAAACAACTTTCATAACTTGGGTGATCGCAGAAGGTTTTGAAACAGCCAATTATAAACATAGATCCATCTTTTGGGATGGAATTAAGCAAAACAATGGTTTTGTTGCAAGTTCACATATACTGCCTTATTTAATTCAGTGACCTTTTCCAATGGTGTGGCTCCATCTACATTTTTTGTAGCAGTAAAATTGGCTTCAGAAGTCAATATTTAAAAAAAAAAAAGAAATTATTTCAGTAACCAACTTCGCAGGATAGGTACCCAAACCACTGTATTGGAATGCTTGAGGGGGCAGTGATTGAGTGACTGAGGCTAGATACCTGGAAACAAACTTTGCAATACTGCTTCCTATTAAGATGTAAATAAGATTTTAAATACATATGCTGTGTGATGGGCTGCCAAGTGTAGAAACTAATTGATTTTTTTTACTAAGCATGGAAGAGGCAAAGAAAATCTCATAGCTACACAACAGACTGACATGCTGTGAAAATGCATAGTTATTGTACGGGTTTTTTCAGCGACAAAACTGTAAAAATTCAAGTTTCTCCAGGTTTCTTTTTCAAAGACTTTTGCTTATATACATGATACAGTATTATGAGTACAGTTTTTCACTCTTAATGTCCCCTTCTAATTGTAACCTTGACATGTTGGTCAACTCATTGTAGTCATTGCTTTGCAGGTAGCAGAATTCCTTTTGGAATCATCTTTGGTGGGACAGATGTAAATGAAGATACCAAATGCAAAGAGAAACACCGGGTAATGGGAGCAGTGCTAGGAGAAGCCAGGTAAAAGCATGTGTGGAAGATTTATGACAGGAAATTGCATTTTTGTAATGACAGATCTTTTAGGAACTGTTCCATAAATGCTTGGAATCACTGTGAGATGTGCAGACTAGCAGACAAAAGATAGCCTACTTGAAATCCCTATGATCTTTACATATTATTTTATTATTCAGTGATGGAAGTAGAACAGTTTCTTCATAAAATATAGTCTGTATGCAGTCTATTCATTTTATATTTCCTGTGTTACAATCATTTCATCCTATTTGTCCATGTAAGACTTGGCAGAGGTAGTGCTGAAACTTGATCTCTTGGGCTGTGGATTTTCAAAGACTGAAATACCATTAAAAGCTAATGAAATCTGTGCTCTTGCTAACTAATCCTGTGCTTTGTCTTCTGAATCATAACTGCTTTCTAGAATAATAAAACTATGCATGTGATGAGGATATAAAATTCTAAGGCAGGTAAAAGAAATTAGAAGAATAATAGCAAGAATACTTAGCCTGGGATTTGGCAGCATATTGCTCTGTAGAATCATCTACTTTATGGGTAGTATTATAAAGACAGCCTTTGATAGTTAGTATAACTGTAGACTATAGCAACTTGACTGTGGTTTATTTGACATATTTGTAATGGATACAATTTTATGCAATCAAATTTTCATTTCTTACCAAAATTATTTTAGACTGTTCATATTTGCAGAGATTTAGGTAAAGAAATACACATCTAAGTATATCCAACACTATCCATACAGTTTGCGTTTGTACAGAGCTATCCTGCCCAAGAAATGACTGATATTTGGTATTTAAATAGTGAATATTTAGTAGTGGAGGTGGTTAGTACTGAGTTAGTGATGAAGTTATGATTATTTAAATAGCAAATCTTTGTTAGCAGTGGAGGTATGAATATTTCTACTAAATCTTACTGTGGTAATATTATTAGCATAAAGAAAGTTGGACCTTGTTTGGCAAGGCCCTGTGCCAGAAGTGCTAAATGTTGCTTCAAGTTGTTTTTTTTTTTTAAAAAACCTCTATTTCTTAGTAAATTCTGGTTTATGTTACATATATTCAAACGTATAAAATATTCTGTATTGGAACTAACATATTTTATGCATTAAGTGCTATCTGCACATACAGACCAAGCTGCCCAGCAGTCTGACTTAAGTGAGACAACTAAAAATAACTGGCATTTGTCCTGTTGCATCACAGAATCAAACCTGTTCTCAGAAGCCTTGCATTTAGCTTGTTGACAGAGTGCTTGATTGAAAAGCAGGTGACTCTATACTTTTGTTCTTTTTTTCTTGCTAATGGAATCCTTTCTTTAGATACATGAACAAGGAAGGAGAGACTGAAAAAAAGTCTTTAAGCAAATTCTTTCAATTTTTTAAGTGGACAAGGGAGTATTTTCAGGGTGTTTTAAAGTCTGGAAAAATTCTAGTGGTGTGTCAGTGTAGTCATCAAAAGTAGTTCAAGAACTGATCAGAAATCAGAGAAAATGACTAAAAACCAAAAAAGGGTTTTGCGACATTTCTCATTGTTTCAACATCCCCAGAAAAGAAGTTTCCTTGTGCTTGATACAAAGGTCTGTTGACTTCAACAGTGTTTTGGCACATCCATGGTGAGCCAGTAAGCCCTTTTCTTAGCGGAAACTAAAGCATTTTATGTATATAAAGCTTCCAATAGATGAAAATAATTTAATAGATAGCTTAAGTCTTATCAAGATAGAGGTTAAGGTTGTCACTTCATGTGTAGCCAGCGCAATAGCTCATTGATGGGAGGGATGGCTGTACTGCTATGTCTTTTCCTCTCCTTCTCCTTTCTCTTGCTTGTGGCTGTGTGATCCACCCTTCCTTGTGCCAGGACTGGACTGCTTTCTGAGCAGGTTTAACTCAGTAGATGGCGTAAAATTTGCTTTCTTTTTCTGGGTTAGTTTTCTGCACCTTTAATAAGAAAAGTCAGCTTGTGGAAGGGTACAAGAAGGATGTCTCTTTGGTGGCAGTAAGTTGCTACAGCAGATCACTCAGCCTCATGGAACTATACTGTTCCTGAGCTTCTGGTGACTTGAGTACTCTGAAGGGTCATCACTCCAGAATTGAGCTCTGCATAAGCAAAGGAGTCCCCGAGTGTACAAAGTGAGACAAAATTTAAGCATCTGGAACGTCTTACCAAATCCAGTGGTACTGCTTGCATGCTTACTCTAGGAGGGCTTAAATACCTTGCTGAACAGAGCTTGCTCAGGATACTGTCTCTGTTCATTCATCACAGTATTCTAGCTAAGACAGGTAACTACAGTGGTTCAGATACGGCAGTGTGGATTTTGGTTCATGTTAGCAATGAGGAAATACATACAGAATCTACAGCAGGCTTATATCTCATAGTTTTATCTTTGCTAATACCACTATATGTTCTAGCTATTAATAGCTAACTTAACGCTAACATAGATATGCTGTTCTGTCTATAGTGCCCTATAAAATGTGATAGATAAACAGATTTTAAAGACAGCATTTAATCAGACTCTTTGAAAAATCATTAAGGCCTGTTCTTATATCTTAGCGTGACTTGTAGTTGAAAAGCAACTTAAGGCCCCATTCAAGAAAAAATTTATATACTTGTTTACTTTTGTTATCAAATAATCAGAAGTTACTCTTCAAACAGATCTGAAGGAAGAGAAAAAAGATATCTAATGTTTCAGTTAAATTTCAGCACTGTGCAAAATGAAAAGTATATAAAAACAGAATCTCTGAGTGTGTCCATTTTCATGTCCAGTTCCATGTTTAAAATATGATCTGTCACAAATAAGCTAATATAGCTTATGCAAAAACTGTTCTTTACTGATTTTTTTTTTAATGATAATTAAATTAGGAACTTGGAGTATAGTTTAGTAGCTTGGATTTCCTATGATGTTTCAAAATACATTAATGCATCCTTAGGCAGTTCATATTTTCTCTGCTACAGGAAAGTAATTCAGTTTTCTAGAAGTTATTCTGAATGGATCTCTTCTCCAGTATTATCACTAGTATTATTCCTTGCATAGTTATTAAAAGAAACATTGATTTTTTTCTTTATTGATTGCAGAGTTCTAAGCAGAAAGTATCATGAATTGTAGATTACTTATCCAGTATAATATACCACCACATTCCATAAAACAAAGTATTGAACACTGTCTAGCTTTATAATGAGTGCTTCATTTTTTAATCAAATTCCTCTAAATGGTGGTTGTACCCCTCTAGGGTATTTTTTTTCTGTTGAACAGTATTTTGTAGACTTGGAAGCAACAGTTTTTTCAACTTGTTAATGTGATGTATTGAAAGTATATGAGCATGTGCAACTTGATGAAATAAGCATTTCCAAAGGCTTTAATAACCTTAAAGCTGTCAAGTTGTATATGAAATTCATTGCAGTACCATAAAGCAGATACTACAAAACAAATGTATAGGAATAAAGTTTGTTTCAACAAACAAAAGTAGGAGTTATAATTCAGCATTTATGTAATTTGTAATGAATAATTGTGATTTCATGTCCTCAAAGTATAACATCTGCAATGGAAAAGCACTGCTCTGGTTGTGACTTAGGAATGTGCTTCATCTCTAACCATTGAGATGTCATAGGGTTGGCTCAGGACAGAAACATTACATTAATTCTATGAAAAAGAAACATTGAATCATAAGTGTAATATGCGATAACCTCTGTTTTATATTCAATATAAAAGCAATTTAAAAAAGGGCTTTTGCTGAGCAGACACATTATGCCTCATATGAACGAGGCATTCAAACATTTCTATTCTGCAGGACTGATAGTCTTCAGAAATGGTCCCATTTGTGGTTCCAGTTAACACTAAAGTTCCATTTAAGAACAGTCAAAGCATGTGTTTATATTTCATCACAACTTAAAAGCTACTTTAAAGCCCAGCATGTTCTTAAGATCTCTTCTGAACAGGGATTCTTTATTAACTCTGACTCCATAAAAATATCTCATATGACTCCTTGGTATTACACCAAGCTCCTAGTAATAATAACTTGTTTATCCAGTGTGTTCAGAAATCGGACTTCGGTGGCTGAAGTCTGTCTGTAATGAGACACCTCAATATGAAAACTGTTCCTATCAATGCTGCTTTTAAATGGTCTCTGACATAACTCTTCTGTTATATGGAATGGCAGTGTACTACATACATTTCTCAAAGGCATGTAAGTAGGAGTCCAGATGAGCCATTACAAACAGCCAGAAGGGAAAAAGTGGAAGTAAGCTTGGGAATAGAATTCTCTTCACCTTCCCAGATGAAAACTCTAGCCATTAAGTTATTCAAGCACACTTTTGTTTGGTTGTTCTTACTTTGGCATTATGATTTATATACATTACAGGGGAGGAGTAGATGGTGTTCATATACAATTCTACAGTTCATTCATTTAAGCGCCTTTCTCATAACAAAGAAAAGTCTTAACCAGAGAACAGTCAAAGTGCCCTTCTATCAGTATTATGTCTGGCTAGTGTAATGGTCTCTTTGCCTGAAACAATGACTCTGGTAAATCTCACTTCTGGGCACCCACTTCTTCCCTATATATTGTAAGGGAATACCAGGTGTCTAACTCAGCATTGCAAATTTCATGTCCACTGCAGATGTCTAACATTCAGAGCTACAGAACTGAGTGTCCCAAGTCTATGAGATTCCAGTGTTGAAGCCCAATCACTGGCTCATCTTTCTTCTTTTTTTAGTTTATTTAATTCTAATATTTTTCCTGAAGAATAACATTTTGGTCTCACAGATGTTTGTTACTCATTGACAGCCTTCACTACTTAGAAATAAGGAGATAACATCAGGGAAAGGTTTGAAAAACCCATCTGCTCATTTGAATTAAATTCGGTTGCAATGAGTTGCAAATAGTGGGACTGGGTATTGTCAAACAACAATAGTATGAAGCTAACTGGACTTAAGATCCCTTCTTACCTAGCTTTCTGATTGTGAAGAGGGCTATTGTAACTTGCAATGATGTAAAAACAGGAAATGCTAACTGCAGCTGTATATATTAATCTAGATAAACTGGGGGATGTTCCCATTATTTGGGTTTTCTCTTACTTTAAGAAATCCTCACTTTAACTCCCCAAGAACTCTAAGTTGTAAAGCCTGAAGAGATACTATTTGTTTTACCAGTATTTTCTGGTAAAACAAATAGAAAGTCTGCTTTCTGTCTTTCCATCTATAATCATAGGAATCTTCCTTATATTAGGAAGAATTTCTTCACTGTAAGAGTCGTTAAGCATTGGAACAGGCTCCCCAGAGAGGTGATGGACTCACCATCCCTGGAGATGTTCAAAAATGTTTACATGTGGCGCTTTGAGTCATGGCTTAGTGGGTTTAGTGGGTATGGTGGTGTTGGGTATACGGTTGGACTTGATGATCTTTGAGGTCTCTTCCAACCATAATGATTCTATGATTCTGTGATCATTTTTATAAACCTCTGCTCTTTGTTCTTACAAAAAATTTTTTCTGAAGTACTTTTCTGGTTTTATATTTAAACACTTTAAGCAGATGATCTCAAATATTTTTGTCCATTTAACTAGGTTTGCAGTGGCTTTCACAATGAAAATGAAGGAGCTGGCAGCAGCAGAGTGGGTATGTTTACGTGATGATGGTGATACAGTGTTATCAACTATGCATTCTCTTTAAATGTTTTCTAAATAATGCTAGAGAATTGTAATAATCTTCATATTCTCTATTCGTGTTTTTCCTTTCAGACAAAGCATTTCACATTTATGTACTTCAACAGGTCAATAGATCTGGCATTTAAAAGCTGTTTAGTATTTGACAAGAGTATACAGCAGTTTAGGAAGTGCTTCTCTGTAACATTTAAAACTAATCATTGCTGTTGTTATCAAATCTGTCCTGATGCCATATGCATATATTATTTCTTTTTGCATCATTTAAAAAACTTTATATTGCCAAAATTCCGCTAAACAGGTTTACTTACAATGACGAATTTGGAAGAATAATTTGAAAATACTTGTTTTGTCAACACTGTAAATAGAATTAATTTCTTAAGGTGAACTGCAGACCTAAAATTGAAGTTACGTTAAGCCCAGCAGTATGGGATAATACTGCCCTATTGACCAGGCCTTGAGGAACGTTGTCCTGGTTTAACCCCAGCCAGCAACTAAGAACCATGCAGCCGCTTGCTCACCCTTCCCCACAGTGGGATGAGAATGGAGAGGAGAATCGGAAAAAAGGTAAAACCCATGGGTTGAGATAAAAACAGTTTAATAATTGAAATAAAATAAAATATACTAATAATAGTAGTAGTAATAATAATTTTTATTACTATAATGAAAAAGGAGATAATAAAAAGAGAGAGAAATAAAACCCAAGAAAGACAAGCAATGCACAATACAATTGCTCACCACCCGCTGACTGATGCCCAGCTCATCCCTGAGCAGCGATGGGCCCCTCCCAGCCAACTCCCCCCCATTTCTATACTGGGCATGACGCTCTATGGTATGGAATATCCCTTTGGCTGGTTGGGGTCAGCTGTCCTGGCTGTGCTCCCTCCCAGCTTCTTGTGCACCTCCTCACTGGCAGAGCATGGGAAACTGCAAAGTCCTTGACTTAGAGTAAGCACTACTTAGCAGCAACTAAACCATCAGTGTGTGATCGACATTATCCTCACACTAAATTGAAAACACAGTACTGTACCACCTACTAGGAATTAACTCTATCCCAGCTGAAACCAGGACAGATATGTAGCACATAAATAACACTTAACTTTCTTAAAATCCATCTCTCCTTCTGAAAATAAAAGGAAACACAATGTGCTGAATGATATATGGAAAAATACTGAATAAAATTATTTTCATCCAACAGCATAGTGGTTAAATATATTTGGCAATGTATTTTAAGGAGATTATTTAGCTAGCAAAGAACTGGCAGTAATAATGGTTGGTTCTCTTTCTCTTCATTTAGTAGGTACCATTGCATTTGCTGTATTGCAAGTCTACTTCAGACATTCAGTGTAATTATTTTTAGTATCTGATGCTCCTGTTTGAAAATAAACTGGGTCAAGATTTTCAGCTTTATGTGGTTGAGTTGATGGCAGGCTGCCAGTGGAGAAAATTGAGACAAATCCTTGAAGCAGACAGTCCTCAATCCTGGTTTCTGAAGAGCGGAGTAAGACAATAATGAGCTGCCAGTCATTTGAGTACAAGGAGTGCTTTTGGATAGTGTCAGGCTGCAATGGTAACCTGTGAAAAACTCCACACCAGGCAGCAGGGCTTGCTGATCTAGCTTGATGGCCCAGCTGATTTTCTGTGCAAGGTTAGCTTCCCAACTAACTTGTTGGCTAAAGGCTTGCACTCGGTTACAGAGAGCTTCCCTGAGCACCAGATCCAGTGAAGGGTAAACACTATTTGGCAGACAGTAAGGGGCAACATACTGGGATAAAAAGACCAAGGCAGGACCACCCTCTTCCAGCTGCAGTGAGCTGTTTGATCTTGTGAAACTTCAGCTGAAGTTGAGCAATAAATGCAAGAAGTAGAAACTAACTGCTTGGTATCTCTTCAGTTCTAATTTGCATCATAATATGATCATTAATACACCCTTGCCTAAACCAACTCAGTTAGAGGTGGAGCTTGCACAACAGAACAATTTAATATTCGATATTTTGTTTCAGCATGAATTGATTTTTTTAATCTGTTTAGATTGAAAGCACCCATGAGCAGACATAGGAGCTGGTATTTACATTGGAAATACAACTTGGTTTTAATAGTTACTACAATGAACTTCATGATGGGTAAACATGAAAGGGCACAGCTTCTGTGCCCTTATGCAAGAATATGCCTTATGGAAGAAAAAGACAAAAGTAACAGAGTATAAGGAGGAGAAACAAACTTGAACTTTGAAATCCTTTTGAAATGAGCACCTCAAATGTTGTTAAGTACTTAAATTTGATTTTACCTAAACACCTTTGCGCTCTGAGCCTATGAGACTTACTCAGAGTTTTGGAGGTCTGTGGCAGACAGGGAATTGGAGGCAAGTCTGTCAAGTCCTAAACTGAAATACCACCTGCTGACCTGTGTCTTAAATGCTGGGGTTTTGAGTTCCTTTTTCCAGCTGTATTTTCATATAAAGGGTGAGAGCAAGTGGAACACACTTACTCTCAAAAAGTGAAGAATATGAATACATCTTTCCATACCTAGGTCGTAGAATATTAACACTTTTTACATACTAACTCACACTAATGTGAACTGCATTATTCCTCTAATGCATGCTTTATTAGTTAGACAGTCAATTAAGAATTTAAATTATGAACATGTAAGCAATTGCACTATGCTCAAGGGCTGTATCTTCTGACAAATTCTTTTGTATTACATTGGATAAATTATCTTTAATTATGAAGTACCTAACGCAGTATTTGTAATCATCTGTATTCCAAGTGAGTTTGAAATAGTGTAAAAGATCTTGTGCTTACGGTCAGTGCTTTATTTCAGTAGTGTAAAACTGGTGCATAAGAATTACCTAAGCCACTTTTATTAGCATTCAATTTCATTTTTCAATTCTCCTCAAGACCATTTAAAATAAAGAACATAACAGAAAATTGATCTATAAAGTGTGACTTTATCTGTACACCTTATTACACAGTATTCCTGCTATTTTCTTCTTGATGCTCCAAGCCCTGGCAGGATTATATTTACTTACCAGAAGCCATTAAAGGTCCAGCAGAGCATGAAACCAGATGCTTAACTGAAGCTTATTTTTGAAACTTAGTGGTGTTAGGAAACTAAAAGCCTATCTTCACCCACCAGAATTTGAGGCAGAACTATGCAGTGTGTCAGCTATGAGGCAAGGTTGGCTTAAGCTGCTCTCTGCCCCATCTGCTTTTTTCTGCCTTCTGTTTTGCTGCATCTACATCCTAGTGCTGAATTTCAGTTATCATCTCACTTGTCCTGCAAATTTAATTCTGAAGTTGGCCTCCAGCTTGCAATGTCTCCATTATTTATAAGGCTTTTTTTAGGATTGGAAGTTCCAATATAATTTAAAATGCTACTTATTCATAGGTAAGAGAAGGAGAACAAGAAATGTTAAGTAATAAAATAACCTATTAAACAATTTTTTTTTATTTTTAAATGCTTTGAATACAAAAGTTCATATCGCTTTTGAAAGATAAAGTCCATAGAATATCCTTAGTCTTCTACTGTAGCGTAAACTGTTATTTTTTCCCCCACTTCATTTACGTATAGATTTGCTGCTTGTTCATGTAGTTTTTGTGACTTAGTTCACTCTGATTCTCAGAAAGTGCCTCCTTCCCATCTGTGAACTGCTTGTTGATGACTATTCACTTTTTTAATGACCTCTTTTCTGTCCATTTCTTCTTCCAGTTCATTTTTAATAACTAAAATAGACTGTTATGACTGGGGAGTGGACTGCAGGGGCAGTCACATAGGAGTGATAGAGGAAAAACAAAATGTTTGCAAGTGAAAAAAAAAAAAATCGCTTCCTTGGCTTCTTATTTCCTGAGCTGACTGGTTCAGGAATTGGCTGCTTAACAGCTTGTTTCTGCATTAATTCCTTTTCTGCTAGTACAAGTTCCCTTCCTGCCTTCAGGTCATTATCCTGCAGGTGTGATTTCACAATCTGCTAAGGATGGGGTGGGGTGGGAGAGGAGAAGGGAAGACTTAATTGCAGCTTGACGTGGTGCACTGGTATACGTGATGCTCTACCTTGGTTAACTCTGGCTGTGTTATTCCAACAACTTTCCACATTGTAAGAGGCAATTCTGCAATATTTAGCTTGAAGAATTTAGCAGTGTATCCCACCATTCAAAAGTGGAATGGTTGGCGGGGCAATCTAGTAGTCCTTTTTCCATCTGTACTTTAGAAAGAGCCATGGCAGGCAAATAGTCAATGACTCAGAGAGTTACAACCTGCTAGGACTGTGCCTCTCTGCATAATGAAATTGGTGCTGAAGAGGAGGCAAGATTTAGTCTCAAGGTAGCAAAGACTGGTGCTCTAAAGAAGGTTGTTCATTCCTGGATGCTATGATGCTAAATTAAGCCATAGCATTACTTGAAATTCTTGAAAAAATGTAATTTCAAACTGAAACATTCAAGGTTATATTGAGCAAATCTATTGGAGATTACATCAGTCGAGTAATACTTTCCTTGGCTTACTCCTTTATAGATATTGCAACCAGTGCGCTTAAAACAACTAGGAATTGTCTGAACACAAAGCTTTGCACAAATACTTTGAATTCAAAAAACTCTGCTTGTTTGCTGGGGAGCATTGTTGTTGGTTTTTTGGTTTTAGGTTTTTTTTTCAATGTGGAAAGATCCCAAGAATATTTTGATATTTTCATGGAAAAAAAAGTGTTCCATAAATTCATGATTGGAGTTACAGAAAGATATTTAAATGGGAACTTGCTTATTTGATCACCTAAATTAAATAACTGGTATAGTAGCACTTCAGGAGTAACTTTGGAAGTGTAATAATTACCTCTGTTACTATAGCTATTTTAAAATAATTTTTAATGCAATTTTTATTTGGGAATATTTCGCAATGACTACTACTGGACAGTTTTCCTGTATAGACAAGTCTACATATATTTGACAGCAATTTTTGAAAAGGTTAGAGGTAAATGGGGCTTCTTTCATGCCTCATGTGTTTAAAAATTCTATTATGGATAAATGTAGACTGCGGTTTCAAAACCAGCTGTAATTTTTCTTTCAAGACTAACATTTTTTGGGAACTTAGACTGTTCTGTAGAGGCAAATCTTTCTATTCTAGGGAAATATTTTAATTTTCTATGCAATAAGGAGGTTAATGTTTATGAGAAAGGATGCAAAGATAAACAGAAAAATATGTTTATACTAACTTGGTAATTGTGTGAACTGCAAAATTGATTCACTGATACTGTAAATGTTCATAGTAAATATAATTTACATTGCTGAGTATTGGATTTTGGTGTTACTTAAATGTATCTTTCTAGTAGTCTGTTTTGATTTTTAATAGTCAAAAGAAAATCATGCTGATGTGCATTTTGTTATACTAGTTGGGTTTTTTTGAAGATTGAACAGATCTTTTATGGTGAACTATGAAAGTTACTTCTGTTCTTCTCTTTAAAGCCAGATGCTAGGAAGAAAATATATGTCCAGACTCAAGGTGAGAGTTTTGAAATATTGACTAAAGCATTCAATTTATTTGACTCATGTCTTTAGTACCTCTATGTTTATCTATCTACCTTTGCCCCGGAAATATTTGCTGAAATGGTTATAGGTTTGAAGTCCTGTCTCCACTGAAGTTGAGCTTTTTGCCATTGACATTAATTGAGGGAGTGTTTCAGTCTCTTAGCCTAAATTTTCAACTCATTTGGTGTTTTTAAAAAAAGTTTTCCCAGATACCTTACAGTAGGAGTCTGAAAGAAAAGGTAACACCTAAGGTAAGACTGAGCTTTGTCCAAAGCCTACGGAAGTTTTGATGCCAAATGATTGTTTTCAGAAACTCCAAATTCCTTTAAATGCTTTAAGTTGAGTTCCTGGTATAATGACACCCAACAAGTATCTAATCCAAAGTGTATTACTTAAGTGGATAGTCTAGGGAACACTCAGCATTTTAGATGTGACTACTTAAGCTACAGCTCCTGATTTTATTTATCTAAAAATAACTGTCCACAGATTCCAAAACTCATTCTATTTTGTATATTTCACTTTCAAAGAAAATAAAATTATTTTCAAAACTGTTATGTTGAAATAACTTACTGTGAGGTCTATTTAGCCCATATTTAGTCTATGTTTAAGCCCCTTGTGAGGTAATAGTTTTCTAAGAGATTAAATAAATTAATGAAATAGTTTCATTAGTAAAATAATTAGTCTTTAATATAAGGCAAAACAAATAAATTAATATTATTCAGATTAATGTTTAATTTTGATATAAATTTAATTTACTTTCTTTGCCTTATGTTAAGGACTTGGGTCTCAGCTGATCTGTGTCTGTGTTGGAATAATATGCCCCCTCAGATAATATTCTCTCGTATGTAGATTTTAAAAGGCCAAATTTAGCATGGTGTAAGTGAGCTTAATTCCCTGGGTTGCTAAAGAACTTCATACGCTGTGTGATTGTGCAAAATTTTCAATTGCAGACAACCTGACAGTGTTGGGATGAGAAAAGCTTGACATGGAAACAGCTGTGTATGGAACTCAGTGTGCTTGACAGAAATACTATTTTCTTAGGGCAAGACTTCAAGAACCATAGTTCAGCCATCCAGAGACCAATCAAACATGTTGTGTTTCTCTTTTTTTTTCAACACAGGAATTAAGACTACACCCAGTGAAACATTTGACTGGTATAGATTTCTACAAAACGCAGGTAAGATTGACTTTTTTTCCTGTATTTACAATTTTTATTCTTTGTAGATGTCAATGATGAAAGAAATTTAGAATGTGAAGGTTAACTAATTATGTAATGAAATTACTTAATGATATGAGAAATTAAAAACTCTAATATTAGATTCAGGCAGAATAACAATAAGATTAGTCTGTTTAGTAAACTACCTAGACTGCCTCCAGATTTCTGATCTGTCCAGGGTTGAATTGCACCAAAAGATAAAATGGCGGTGACATATGGGTCAATGTCCCTTAGAAGGTAAGTTAGACCACAGCACTGATACCTGAGCATGCTGTGCTTTGCAGCTGTGTGATAGAAACTGTGGATGTCTTTTGCAGAAGAGCAGGTGAGGTGAAGAAGTAGTGAAGAAGGGAAATATGTGTTGCTGTTTAATTATTTTGTCTTGATCTAAAGCCTATCTCTGTTTTCACCAAAGTACGGGCATGTAAGGCAGATGACCTAATTTAAAGTCACCTGATCTTGGCAGTGTTTTAATTTCTCCAGCTGTCTTTCCCCAAAAGAAGAATTTGTAGGGATTTTGCTGTGGTAAAAATATTTCAGTATTATATTAATCAATCTGATCTCTGATAGTACAGCTGTTCCCTCTGTTACAAATGAATCCTCACTAGTCAATTGCTTTATCACATCAGTAAATGTGTGCCATTATTCAAAACCGGTGTCCAATTTTAAATTGAGCATTGTGAGGTTATTTTGTTCTCGGTAAATCATGGCACACAAGCACAGCGCCATTAAGATTAATAATTTTCTGAAGTGAAATGATTTGTCACTTGCTAGCACAGCCTTAGTGTTGATTGGATCTCATGTCCAACCATTTTATGATTAAAAGAGCAGTCAACAGATTGAGGAGGGGGAAGCTCCCCCTAAAGTGCATTTCATCCAATATATGAGAGACAATTTTTTGCCTAATGTGTCCTAATGCAAAAGTGCAAAGTAAGTCATAGTGTACATGAAAAGCAAACTAAAATGTGACTCTAGCATCTGTGCCTGTTAAATAATAACTGGAAAACTGGCATCAGTTTTATTCAGTATTGTTTTAATGACTGTTTCATCTCATTTATCTGATCAGTCTTGTCTCTATGTCCATCTCTGGTGGCAGCCTACAGTTTTCACTTCTTTTCATCTTGGACATGGAGGCAGGTTTTTTTGGCTCTACCTTTGCGCTTACCACAGACTAATTAGGAGTTCCCACTGAATTGCTTTTCTGGGGGTTTGCAGTTTCAAAGTGTTTAAAATTCTACTAAACTTGGAGCAATCCGTAGAAAACTATCAAAAATAGAAGGCAATAGAAAGCGATTTTGCTCTGAAGAATACGATTTTGATAGTGTAGGCTTGCATGATGAAGTGCAGTTGAAAGTGCCCGAGCTTTTATGCAGATGTTGTGGTTTAACCCCAGCCAGCAACTAAGTACCACACAGCCACTCACTCACTCCTCCCCCCGCCGGCCCTCAGTGTGATGGGGAGGAGAACTGGAAAAAGGTAAAACCCATTGGTCAAGATAAGAACAGTTTAATAGTTGAAATAAACTAAAATATACTACTACTACTAATAATAATTGTAATGAAGAGAGAGATAACAGAGACGGAGACGAATAAAACCCAAGACAAGTGATGTACAATACAATTGCTCACCACCCGCTGACCGATGCCCAGCCCATCTCCGAGCAGTGATTGGCCCCTCCCAGCCAACTCCCCCCAATTTCTATACTGGGCATGACGCTGTATGGTATGGAATATCCCCTTGGCTGGTTGGGGTCAGCTGTCCTGGCTGTGCTCCCTCCCAGCTTCTTGTGCACCTCCTCACTGGCAGGGCATGGGAAACTGCAAAGTCCTTGACTTAGAGTAAGCACTACTTAGCAGCAACTAAACCATCAGTGTGTGATCGACTTTATTCTCACACTAAATCCAAAACACAGCACTGTACCACCTACTAGGAAGGAAATTAACTCTATCCCAATCAAAACCAGGACAGCAGATCAAGCTGTCCAATCTTGTTCACCTCAGGGCGTTTATGATCTGGGGTTTTTTTTTAAAGACTTTTTTCATGAAGTTCTATTCCATATCTAAAGGCATTTAATGATTTTTGTCGGAACTATTTCTCCAGATAACTCTCACCTGTATTGTTAGCAGTATCCTTGAAAATTTGTCAAGTTCAGGATTCCCAGGACTGAATGTAAAGAAACAGCACATGCCCTACAATGGAAATTATAATACATTTGAGACATCAGTGTTCAACATCCTTGGTGATCAGGCCATACCTTGTCAAGTTATTCTTTAAAATTAAATAGGGTCTTCAGAATATTTCAAGACTTTTTCATAGAACAGACTTCTTATGAATATTCTTTGTACTGATTTTTTTTCAGTCGTAGAAAAGCCTTAACATTTGACTCATGTGAAATATAACACCAGTACATACATAGTCTCTTTGAATCAGTGTAATGGCTTCAAAAAGAATTTAATGGTAGATTTAAGTGAGTGGCAGAACGCATCAAATACATTTTGCTGTGGGAGACTTCTCCCCGCCGGCAGCCCCCCAATATGAATGGTACTAAACCGAAAGCTAAGGAATCCCAGCTTTTTGTACGTTTCATTTGATAGTTTGAGTCACTAACATAAATAGCAATTGCCTAATACAAACAGAGGCAGTGCTATGAAAGGTTTTTTGTTGTCGTTATTATGGGTGCAATACAATCTCATTACAAAAATCATGGAATTAGTATTTTTTTCATAATCTCGGCAGCAGAGTTGAGAGTTGCAGAGATGATGCTTGTATAGTGTTAGTGTGCTCCTTGCTGCAGTGTTTTCAGTGGCTGGCTGTTAAAACATTTATTGGCTAAATCTACAAAAAAAGAGCTTTTAAAGTTAATTTGCATTCTGGTTACAGTCAGCTTCACGGAGTTTGTCTTATGTGGATGAGAGACTGTAAGCAACTGTAGTCAAACAAAAAAGCTGAACCAAGTGCAGATTTCAACACAGTCTTCAAGAAGACAATGTTTTCATTATTTTTAGTCACTCAGACTATTTAGGAAATCTATTACAGCCTGTGTCAGTCTGGAGGTCAGACCAGATGATCGAAATGTTTTTTCTGACCTTGTAATACAGGAATTTATGTACAGCGTAATCAGTTTTGTTAGCAATTTTAGATGCCTATTTATGGACTTGAGAGAGACAATGAAAGTTCAGGCTTTTGCTGTAAACTAATTGACAGAAAATGACAAGACAGTCTAAGTAAATGCGAAAACTGAGACTGATCTTCTCTAACAACTTAACTCAAGGATAGCGCATAGCTACTTAAGATCACAGACAGGCTTGATGTCATTATACCGTGATCAAAGGCTCCTTTTGATTTCAGTGGAATGTGGCTGAAGCTTGTAAGATGTAAACCCTAATAACCACTTAGACATCATGTGATTAGAAGGTGTAGATAACTAACAAAGTCTATACTAATAAACTGAGGAAGCCTGTTTACCCAACAGGTAAGACTAAAAACTGGTTTCCTAGAAGGTGACATAGGATCTTAGGATGAGATACTTATTGCACTATCAAATAAAATATGCAATATACTTTCGTAGTTTGGTTTTTCTACTCTCAGATAATTTCTGCTTCATAGCATGTCTATTTTTGGAGTTTGAAAAGTTTACATAACCTGTCATGACACAGACAGGGTTTTACAGAGGCATTGTATTTTCTTAAAGCTATGCTGGAATAAAAGAGGCACATAAGAAAAATTAAATAGTAAAAGTTTGTGCAGATTTATAGCTGACTATAGAAATAATGATATGACAGCAGCAGTAAACTGTGTTCCTGAACAGATCCAAAAGCATAGAGCTTTTTTGTTGTCTGATCTGTTAGAAATAATGAGAAACAGGAAAAAAGGATTGCTGGAGAATTTTGCAGTCTGATTTTTCTGGATTAGTAGCCTACCCCTGGAAGTTAACAGGTTCATTTAACTTCTGTTGTCTTCACAAACGTATCAGCAACTCTAGCAGTTATTCACTATTGAATGTGAATAGCAGTATAAACACTTTGGATATAGTTATTACCTCCACTTCCCCTTAATTTCTAAGAAACAAATTGCTTTGTAAAATAAAAACTCAACTTCATAAAACATTAATAAATGTTTGAGATATGCAGGTGGTTAAGTATGTTGCTGAAATAAGACCTAATTGGGCTAATAATTGTTGAAGTTCTGTGTCATCAGTGACTTCAATTAAAGAAACTTTCAGAGTCAGTATGAAGTAAGATAGCATGTTGAAGCTGTACTGCAGTAGGACAATACCATGTCAAATAAGCTGGAGAGTTTGGTTGGTCTGAGCAGCTTGTTTTTAATAGCTGGCTTGTAAAAGAGATACAAAATCAAACTCTTGGTGCCAAGAGACTAAAAGAGCTAATGTGTGGTATTTCTACTGTGTGTAGGGAGATGAACCTAAAGAATAACTACAAATTGAAAGATGTAGAGTGTCAAAAATACACGCCAGAGTTGGACAAATTTATCTACGTTTCAAACCGAAGAAAATAAAATAACTACCTTAGAGACCGAAATCTCAGCAATAAGCCTATGGATTTCCTTTTCTAGGAGATCAGTTAATACTTTCAGGTGCATAGGAGATGGATAGATGAAAAATTTTCAGGAGAAGTAAAAGACCTGCTGTGGTTCAAAGTGAACAGAAAGGAAAATGAGAAAGGTTATTCACCCTCACCATCTCATCATGGCTTCAATTTTGTTTCTGAACAAAACTAAAAATGGATGACTGAGCCCAAATAGTATGGACTTGGTATTGTTCTCTAAAGGGCCATAGAACACAACAGTGAACTTGAAATCAGGGGTTGGAAAGTTGATCTTAAAATCTTTGATCGTCACTGACCTAGTATTAATAGGAAATGTTTTGACTGCAGACTGTTTTTTTATGTTACTGGGCAATCATTGTACCCTAAATTATAACCTATAAGTCCCATATTGATATG